TATTTCCTTGCGATAAAATTAATCTTTTTCTCGATTCTTCGTCTATTACTTACTATTCAATGATTTGTCAAAACATAATTATAATTGCAGCAATAACGAGAAATAAAAAGTAATACAATGTATTCTCAGAAATAAATAATTACTACTCAGAAAAACGTAGTTTAGTTAGAGTGAAAGTCAACAATAACTTGAAAAAAAAAAGTTAAACTTTGAAATCAACCTGTTTTGTGACATTAAGAATACACGTCTACTTCATCTATCCATATTTACGTCTCGATGTTTAAATTGTTGCTAAAAATTTGATTAGTTAAGACAGTCTGATAGCATAACACTATTTGATTTTCATATCTTATGCTTGCTTAATGCTTAGTTAATTGTCGAATTTATCACGACAGATGTTAAATGCAAGTGCTTTTTACATATTTTAAATGCAAATAAATTTTATTGAGAATTTTGGAATAAAAATGAGATATCAACAATAAACCAAATTATTAGGCATTAATGGCTCTATAAATTTTAATATTAAATACTTGCAACACTTAAAATATTATTTAATTTTTTCATAAGCAATGTTTGCATTTTATTTAGCGCTAAAAAATTTAACTTAGCGTTGTTTGCTTTATTGCTACTCCTCACTAAATTGCAAGTAATAATTTATACTTTGTACAAATTTTTCGGTAACAACACAATCATGAAGTTAACAATCAAAGTTTAAAGGGGATGTTTCATGCCAAAATATATGCTAATCAGGTATATTATTATTGGTAGAAAATTTATTTATGTTTATTTCAGGCAAATTTTTGGTTGCTTATTCATTAGTGAATAAAATTAGAGGGTATATCTGGATTTGTGTGCCAAAACCGGATCTAATAAATGGATAAAGCATAACGCTTTAGCTTACGAGGAATACATTTCTCAACGCAGAAGAAGTAGAAAGGAATACTGAGGTTAGTTAATCAAATAAACAAGAAGACGGTGGAGGAGGAAATTACCGAAATTCAGGTTCAATGCTCAGTTTGAGAAAAGAAAAGTTGAATTCTCGAGTTAACCTTTATATCGTATTGGCTTCAACTAATGTTCTTAGCGCTTTGCTTAATAATAATAATAGTATTGAAAAATTGCACGAATTCACCATCGTCAATCCGGAAATCCAAAAAGCTATCATTGCAAGATTTCCTGATTTTTTTCTGATTACCATTTATTAATCTGAAAATAATCCCTGCTTATTATATCATTATTATTCGGTTTATTTTTGTTACTTATTTTTTCACTTGACTGTTTTCTTCATCATAAGTCTACTCTTCAAAGAACACCAGAATGAAAGTATTAGATAAAGCGATCGATCTTCGAGGATCTCAGGTGTTAAACCTGAAACGGTTGGTTTTATTTTTTACTCTTTTCATCAATTATTTAATTCTACCGGCACATTTTTACAAATTATGCATTCTGTAAGTCAATTAAATAAGTGCTATCTTAAAGAAGTAACAGTTTTTGGATTAAAATATAAGCTTTTGTGAGAAAAAAAGATTACTTTAGGTATCCTTTCAGCAGAACGATGTTCTTATGAATGCTGAGAATTAATATAGCATTATCTCTTCTAGCATTAGCACTGAACTTTTGAAAATTTTTACCACAAATCTGATTTTCAATCAGTTCTTGCTGTACTGAATACAATTATAATTTTTAAATTATTGTATGTGTAGAAAGTTGCAGAGAAATCATGGAAAGATGTAGGACATCTAAACTACATACTTGGGGCTTAATTTATTAATGTGATAATTTATTGACTGATAAAAGTTTATATTGATTTCATCTTTCTCTAATAATTACAAACAATTTGTAATACTTATATTTCTGTCTTCTTCTTGGAGAAATGGTATCAAAAAATATAATCTTCATTAATCGTTTTTAAGTTCAAAAAATATAATCTTCATTAATCGTTTTTCTTTTCAAAAGTTATAATAGGATTTAAATTCTATCTAAAATTTTTGCTTTTTCCTCCATTTTGTCTTCTCTCAAGGCTATATAGTAAATGATAAAATTGGTTTTTACTTAAATCTTTCCGTGTAGATAGTCAGATCTATATTGTTCTCTGTGTAATTTTGCAAAATAGTTCTGTAAATACCGTAATTTCTTTTGTCTAAGATTGACATAGCAGTTAAAATAAGTTATGCTACTGTCATTATGCCATTTCCAAGTAAATATACAGATAAAATAAGTAAATAATGAAAATGGTAAACTTTCATTTTTTGACGTGTATCTAAATTTCTAATCTCATAAATCAATTTTACAAAATGACATACTTACAACTAAAACATCTATTTATTGGCTTTAATCACTATTTTGCTTTATATATTTTTTAAAGAAATTCTCTCTTCTTCAGTTACAGTATATCAAAGTGGTAATTAATTATCAACATCAATTTTATGTGATATTTAACATAAGTTATTATTTTGCGACTAAAATTATTACTTTCATACTGATTTTTTTTGTGAATGATCTTCTTTGATCAACTATGAAATATAATCAGTAGTAGGTGGATCAAAAGATGAGAGCGAAAAGTGAGAAGCAATGAGTATAGAATGTAAAATATGAATAAAAAGTTGCATTCAGAATGTTCGCACTTTACTTATTACTAAACAACTGCGCACTTCTACTTGCAAATAATTGTTGATGAAAAAAAAGCTTAAGAGGATCTTTCTCTTATCTTATTTGGTTTGCTGTTTACACCTAATGATTAGCTTCTTTGCTTCTATAATTTTAGAATATGAACTCAAATTAAAATACATTTTGTGTAGAAAAATTTGATCTTTGATTCCCTGCATATAATGCAATAAAATATTTCATGTAATGAGATCTTTAATGCATTCTTTATCTAATCATACATTATTATCTTATGATTTTTACTTTACTATACAAGAATTAGCAATTTATCTCTTGTTCGTATGTTTGAAATTTAATTCAATACGTGTACACAATTTATTAAAAAAATAATTCTTGATCATAATTATTTAATCTCATTTTTAAACTTGTTATTGCTAATTATTTTCCATCTCAAAGATTCATTGTCGCAAATAAAATTTCTGCTTCAAATTAAATTTCTAAGATCTATATTTCAGATATCATACCATTGTATGGCAAAGAAGATGTATGGCATTTTCAACTTTTCTTGCATGTGTTCGTTTTTATCATTTTAAACTATCATTTTATATAGAGTGGTATTCACAGAATCTTAAATCATAATAAATATGAGCAGTACAATTTCTAAAATTCATCACCTTGAATTTGAGAAAAAAAATTTTGTGGATGATTTTTTCTTAATATAATTAAAGATATTTACTGAAGAATAAAGTACATAAAGTTATTCAGAAACCTAGTTGAAATTTAAATCAAATGATATATTAGTGATAATTTTAGTTATTGTAGTATAAAACAAAGAAGCTAATGATAAGATTGTAGTGTAAATGAACAACAAACGAGTCATTTTTCATGTTTTACTTATAGTCTTTAATTGAAGTTAAAATTTTGTTACCTTCTCAGAATGCTTGGAAAAAAGTTTTATCCTTAAAATTTTTCATTCTTTAGTTTATGTTACCAAGTATTTATCAATGAAAGGAAGTACAAAGATAAGCTTTTTATTTATTTACAATCTTTCAGGTAATT